TGCGTCCCGTGCCAGTACGCCGCGATGGTGGTGGCGGCCTCCTCGCAGCGCTTCTGGTGCTTCAGCTCCCGCAGGATCTTTCGGGCCTAAGGGGTGGAATCAGCCAGAGGAATAGTTAGCCAACAACGGACGCCACGGGGACCTGAGAAATGCCCGGAGAGACAGTCACAACACCCTTCCCAGGCGGGGAGCCAACGGCTCAAAGAAAAGGGAAAGGTCACCCGGCGGTGGCTCGGTGGTTGAGTGTCGACCTGTGAACCAGGAGGTCACGGCTCAATTCCCTGTCAGGGCACAGCCCGGGTTGTGGGTTTGATCCCCAATAGAGGGCGTGCAGGAGGCAGCCAACCAATGATTCTCCTCATCATTGATGTTTCTCAACTCTAATTATTCGTACGTCAAATCAGTTGTGAGCGAGTGAGACACGTGATGCTGGGCTGATGTTGTGGCGTTCACTGTGATGTTCGCTGCATCAACTAGCGGTGGGGTATCTGAAGCTGGCTCGTAACCTGAATTTTAGCTCGCAATTCAAAGCAAAAAATCGGCCGAGAGACGGCTCGTATCTCGAAAAACTCGTTAGTCGGGACACTCGTAAGTCAAGGCCCCACTGTATAGGGAATGTTGCTAATTAGCCCAAAACGGACGATGAGAAGTCATAAGTGAAAACACATCCAGCCTGACAGTGCAGCGCCCACTAGACTGGGACAGCCGCCTCCCACGCCCCGTACAGGACAGGGAAAACCTGGCCACCACAAGACAAGCTGGTGCTCATCAGCTAAAAGGAGCAGGTCTCACAATGAGGTTGCAGGATCTCCAATCATCCACCCAATCCATTCATTCGCTTTCAGTATTGTCATCCGAGGATAGAACTGGAGCTATAGTCTTAATTCAAGAAATGTTTAAAGATTTGCTAATATGAAATTCTCACATCCATCACGCTTCTCTCCAGCAGTTGCTGGAAACTGATCTGGTGGAGGCAGGAGGCCAGGCTGGAGGTGGGCTCTGCATCTTGCCCCTGACATCGCTGGACGGAGACCCCGCCAGGGACTCAGTAATGAGGCCAAAGACGCATCCGCAGGCGGCCACACTTAGGCTATATGCTCGGATTTGGTCTCTGGCATTTGCTGTGGGAGGACTACGCAGCCCTGAGGCTACTCATGGGCCCAGATGAAGGTCAACGGGTGCCATAGAGCCCCGGCCCAGGGACGTATGTTCTTTTAAAAAAAATTCTCTATTGTTGAAAGTATTATAGCCCTAGCCAGTTTGGCTCAGTGGGTAGAACCCCGGACTGGAGGGTCCCGGGTTCGATTCTGATCAAGGGCACATGGCCGGGTTACAGGCTTGATCCCTAGTAGGGGGCGTTCAGGAGGCAGCCGATCCATGATTCTCTTATCATTGGTGTTTCTATCTCTCTCTCCCCCTCCCTTCCTCTCTGAAATCAATAAAAATCGCAGGAGGCAGCTGATCAGTTGCCATTAACATTCTTGTTCCTCTCTCTCGCTCCCCCTCCCTTCCTCTCTGAAATCAATAAAAATCTATTTTTAAGAAAAGGAAGTATTACACATGCCCCCTTTCCCCCACTGACCTCTCCTAGCCTGCCCCCCCCGTAGGTATTGTGTGTGTCCATTGGTTGCGCCCAGGTGCGTCCAGGGCCTCTGCTCTGAAGGGGTTCCAGGCATGAGGACAACCTTGAAGCAGCGGCTCTGGGTTTAGCCCAATCCACACAATCTCCGACAGGACAGGGTCAGCACGGGCCTCGAGTACCTGTGACCCAGAGTGGGGTCAGCAAGGCTTTCTGCAGGAGGCCCGCTGGCGAGGATGCTTGGCTTTGCAGGTCACGTGTCCTAGTTGCAACGCATCAGCTCCCCACGGCAGTGCGAAGGCACCCACAGACAGGAGGTAGAGAGGGTGGGCACGGTTGTGCAGCATGAAGCTTTATGTGTGCGAACTCTGTAGTTCACATATGCCTCATTTATATGAAATTCGCATTTCATATCTTCGTCTTTTAACAATGCTTTAAAAATATAAAAACCGCCCTTCGTTTCCAGGCTGTGCAATAACAAAAGTTAGGCCACACGTGGCCAGTGGGCCGCGGTTTGCTGACCTCCAGACCAAGGAGGTGGCGCACTGTGACCCCCTCTCCCCACTAGAATGGCCAGAGCCCAGGATCCCGGACCATCTGTTACAGGGCAGCGGGAAGATGGAGAAAGTCAGAGGAGGCGCGGGGCCGGGAGAGCGAGGTCTGGGGGGAGGCACAGGTGTGGACCACCTGGGACAGCCTGGACTACACACCGCCTCCCTCACACGCAGGGCAGAGGATGTCGAGCTCACGCACGGAATTAGTTCAAGGACTTCCTGCTCCGAGAACAAAGCTCTGGAAAAGAAAGCCGGTTCGGAGGAAGCGGCCCAGACGCGGTCACCGGGCCCCCGCTGGCCGATGTTTATCCTCCCGCCCGGCTGTCCAGGGCGCGGGCAGCCGGCAGGAGCGGCCCCTGCAGGGACCCGAGAGCCCCAAGTAGAGAAGGCGCATTCCTTTAACTCACCTTCCAGCCCCGGATGTAAGACTGGATCACCAGAGCCGAGCGCTTTGTCTGCTGGTACCGCTTCCGTTGCTGCGGGAGGAAGGGGAGAGGTGAGCTCACACGGGGCGGGCAGAAGCAGGGGTGCAGTCCTGCGTGCACGGGACGGCGCCTTCCCGTGTTGTTTATTGTATTATTTATTAGTATTACGACGGGGAAGAGTATGTCGCTCTTGGTGCAACTGCCTCTTGATCACCCATGTTCCTCCAGGAAACCAACATGTAAAGAAACCGGAACACCCAACAACCCCAAACCAGGACCCGCACCCTCGCTGTGCCGCACTTCCCAAGTGGGGAGCTCCCAGCAGCATCCACGCAAGACCCCCCGGCAGCAGGAAGGGCCGAATGTCTGAGGACTAAAGTCCAACCCTTTAGCCAAACCCCCAATTCTAGGAAAATGTGGCCTCGGCTTTCTGGGATTAAAGCCATTTTCGGCGCTGCTACGATAAATGGAGAGGAACCAATTCTTTCGAAAAGGCTGACTCGACCGCTGCCCAGGGGTTAAAGGACACAGTCTCTTTCGGTCCACGACCACATTCAAGAGGGAGACGTCCCATCGTATCTGCCCCAGGGGGAGGCGCTGTGATGCCCGGAACGTGAGCTCTGACTGGAGACGCCCTGCATCCCACCCCCATCGTGGCCCCCCGGCAGCTGGGGGACTGTGGGCACGTTCCCGAGCAGTTCCTGCCTTCGTTTCGTTTTCTCGTCTTTAAAAAGCAACCAGAAATATCCTTGGGTGAGGATTAAAAAAAAAATTAAAAATAAATCTACAGGAAGCACAGGGCATGCGTCTCCTGGGCGTGCTGGGAGAGGCAGGCGTGTGACCAGGGGCCCCAGGCA